CCCAGATGACATACATACACTTCTCTAGAGAGAACAAATGTGTATACATTACTGTATTTTCTGGAGTGAGAGATACAAATGTGAACCATTTCCTTCAGAGATTAGAAGAAACAAGGAATAAACACATACAACTTTTGAGAAAAATTCCTGAATAATTATATATCTATGATTAAAATTCAAATGAGCATGAAGATAAGTGCTTGAGTTCTAGAACAGAAAAACCAGTATGAGGTGGAGTGCTTAAAAAGAAATGTTTTGCCCTGGCTGGTGTGCCTCAATAGTAAGAGGGTTGTCCTGCACACTGAAGTGTCAATCAAGATCTGGGTTTGAATCCCAGTCAGGACACATACCCAGGTTGCAGGTTCAAATGTATAAATGACTGATTTTCAATGTTTCTCTCTCTCTCGCTCTCCCTCCCCTCTCTGGAATCAATAAAAAATATATCACAGGGTGAGGATTTAAAAAAAAAAAAATAATAATAATAATAAAAACAAAGGAATGGTTTTTCTTTTTGCTCTCCCAACAGGTGAAGATGTGTTCTTTCAGAACAGACTGATAACACCATTTAGAGCAGCAATTCTCAACCTTTAAGTCACGACCACTTTGAGGGTCAAATGACCCTTTCACAGGGGTCGCATATGACCATCGAAAACACATATTTCTGATGGTCTTAGGAACTGACACCATGCCTCTATCCATCTCCAGGCAGGTCCACCCACATGCAGATATGCCCACATACAGATACACCCACATACGAGTGCCTGGCATGATGACATCATCGCGCCAACCCCATCATATAAACCCCGTACAAATACAGGTTCATGTGACAGGGTTGGCGCCATAATGTACACATATGTGGAGAGCAGCTACTGTGCCGAAAGCAGCTATTCTGTTAAAAGCAGCTACTGTGTTGAAAGAAGCAGTATTGGAGGTAAAATGATACTTCATGAATTATAATTACTGGGTAAATGTAAAATCACATACTGTAAAATCATCAACTACTGCAAAAAAAAAATATCTGTACCATGGGAACTTAATCTGGATGATGGTCAGTCTTTTTATATTCAGCTGTGGTTGATGTGAATACTGCCCCCTTGTGATAGTAACAGGTATGTAAAAAAAAAAAAATCAGAGAATGGTAAATCATAGGAAACTTTAATAAACTGTATTGACTAAACTATGCCATGTGTCATCTTTTGTATTATTAAAGCAATTGTTATATATTATTTTCATTAGCAAACCATCTTATGACAATGGATTGTGTAGAGAAGAACCTTAAGAAAAGAAAATATAGTGAGGATTTTTTACAGTATGGCTTTGCCTCAATAATTACAGCAGGAATTGAGAAACTGCAATGTGTTATTTGTTGTGAAGTTCTATCAACTGAATCTATGAAGCCGAACAAACTAAAACACCATTTTGATAGCAAGCATACAAGCTTTGCCGGCAAGGATATCAACTATTTTAGAAGCAAAGCTGATGGACTCAAGAAAGCCAGACTTGCACAGGTGGCAAGTACCACAAACAAAACATAGCAGCCATTGAAGCTTCATATTTGGTGGCGCTCAGAATCACCAGAGCTATGAAACCTCACACCATTGCTGAGGATTTACTGTTGCCAGTGGCCAAAGACATTCTTTGAATTATGATCAGAGACAAATTTGTTACGAAATTGAGTGCAATTTCCTTATCTAAAGACACTGTCTGCAGAAGAATAGATGACATGTCTGCTGATATTCTTGATCAGGTAATCCCGGAAATTAAATCTGCTCCCCTTTCAATATTTATCACCCAGCTTGATGAATCCACAGACATTGCAAACTGTTCAGAGTTACTGGTTTAAGTGAGGTATATTAATGATGGTGACATTAAAGATGAATTTCTTTTTTGCAAACCTCTTGAAATGACAACTACTGCACATGATGTATTTGACACAGTTGATTCATTTCTGAAAGAGCATAAGATCTCTTGGGGAAAGATTTGTGGTGTTCACACAGATGATGCTCCAGCTATGCTAGGATGTTGATCTGGATTTCAACGTTTGGTACTGAATGAGTCACCAAAAGTTGTTGGAACTCACTTTATGATTCATCAGCAAATATTAGCAACAAAGACACTGCCACAAGAGTTACAAGAAGTAATGAAAAGTGTCATAAGCTCTGTCAATTTTGTAAAGGCAAGCACTTTAAATAGTCGACTGTTTTTCAACTGTGCAACAAGTTGGATGCGCCGAACAATGCCCTGCTATTTTACACTGAAGTGAGATGGTTGTCAACAGGAAGAGTTTTAAAACATGTTTTTGAGCTTTGTGATGAACTCAAAATGTTTTTTAATCTGAAAGCAAGGCCAAGTTTGAAGCACTTTTCAGTGATAAAAGTGAACTGCAGAAAATAGCTTACTTGGTTGACATCTTTGCCATCTTATTGAATGAGTTACATTGATCACTGCAAGGACCAAATGCAACGTGCCTCAATTTGTCTGAAAAAAATTCAATCATTCCAAACGAAACTTCAACTTTGGCAAAAAAAAAAAAATGGATAAAAATAAAATTTACAGAGAGCTCTGAGCTCTTCAACATGTGAGGACACAAGGAGAAGAGAGCCATCCGCAAGCCAAGAAGCAGGCCCTCACCAGACAGCACATCTGCCAGCACCTCGACCTTGGACTTCCCAGCCTCCAGAACTGCTTCAAGAAGCATATCTGGAAAAAGACCACCTTTCAGATGTGAAAATGGCGGTGGAGTGAATGGTAGCTACACAGACAATCTCCCAGGATCAAACGGGAATTACAACAAAAATAAAGACAAATCGTCAGAAAAAAGCAACAGAAAAGCAGCAGGACAGGACCAAATAACCAGAGACACCAATAGGATCTGCAGAGGCGCGAGAGGGTGGCAGGCTGAAAGCTCACGGACAGCAGCAGTTTTGGCTGTGAGCGGGGCCCTCAGGGATAAAAGACCAAGCCTGCTCTACAGTGCAGAGAGCTGGGTCAGAACACTGGACTGGTGATAGCCATTCACCTGGGGCTCTGGCAGAGGGAGGGCAGACTGAACTAGAATTCTGTGGGGATAGCTGGGAATTAGAGGGCACTCAGAGTTTTTGCTGAGTTGCGGCCACAAAGAACAGTGGCCAACTTGCTTCTTCACAGAGCTGTGAGGAAAAGCAGCAACCCCTTCCTCGGAAATTCAGCCTGTTCCAGGTGAGGCAAAGAAATGCAAATTGAGGCTCATTAACAACCAGGATCTATCCCGTTCTCTGGAAATCCTCTTACACAGAACACCAGGGCTATATTCCAAGACCCTGAGTAACTGAGACTAATGGCCTTCAGACATAAAGCTAGAGGATAACTGAACCTTTCCTGGGCTTGAAAATCTACCCAGGAAAATAAGACTTGACAGTGGTGTTTAACGTGAGTCCTCCCATATTCATCCAAACCCAGTAGAGGGAGCCACAAACAGCAGGACACCAATACCCACAGGGAAAATTTGGCAGGCTCCAAAACCCACTGAAATAGCCAAAATGGTGAAATAAAGAAACACATCCCAAAAGAAAGAACAAGAGAACTCTATTGAAGATAAGATCAATAAATGCAGCTAAGCAAATTATCAGACATAGAGTTCAGAGCCATGATCTTGATGAAGATCAACAGCATGAGTAAGGACATTAACCCCATGAGTAAAGATATAGAAACACTGAAAACCAACCAAGTGGAAATAAAAAATGACATAGCAGAAATATAGAACTCATTGGAAGGACTAACCAGTGGAGTAGAGGAAGCTGAGGATTAGATCAGTGAATTAGAAGACAGGGTAGAAAAAATCAACCAATCAGAAAACCAAAAGGAAAAAACCGGGAGATAGCTTAAGAGAACTGTGGCACTACTGGAAACATCATAGAAGTCCCAAAAGAGGAAGAAAATGGGCAAGGGTTAGAGAATATATTTGAAGAAATAGTGACAGAAACTTTCCTAACATGGTGAAGGAAGAAGGCATTCAAGTACAAAAAACACAGAGAGCCCAAGTAAGAAGAACCCAAAACAAGCCCACAGCAAGACACATAGTAATTAAAATGCCAAAAATTAAAGACAAAGAGAGAATCCTAAAGGCAGCAAGAGAAAAGCAACCTACAAAGGAACCCCCATAAGCTGACTTCTCAACAGAAACACTACAAGCCAGAAGGGAATGGCAAGAAGTAATCAAGGTTGTGAAAAACAATGATCTGAATCCAAGACTACTCCATCCAGCAAGGCTATCATTCAAAATAGAAGGTCAAATAAAGAGCTTCCCAGACAAAAAAAGGCTAAGGGAATATATTAGCACCAAACCAGCACTGCAAGATATGTTAAAAAGAGAGCTGTAATTAGTAGAAGAAATAGGAACAAAAATAGAACCACACTAAACAAAAATGGCAAAAAATAAGTACATATCAATAATCACCTTAAATGTAAATGAACTGAATGCTTTGATAAAAAGACACAGAGTAGCTGATTGGATAAGAAAGCATGACTTACATATATGTTGTTAACAAGAGACCCACCTCACAACAAAAGACTCACATAGGTTGAAAGTGAAGTGATGGGAAAAAATCTTCTAAGCAAACGGAAAGGAATAAAGGCTGGGGTAGCATTACTCATATCTGATAAAGTAGATTTCAAAATGAAGGCCATAACTAGAGACAAAGAATGCCACTACATAATATTGAAAGGATCTATCCAACAGGAAGATATAACCTTGGCAAACATAAATACATGCAATATAGGAACACCAAAATATATTAAAAATCTTCTGGAGGACTTTAAAGGAGAGATCAACAGCAATACAATCATAGCAGGGGACTTCAACACCCCACTGACATCACTGGATAGATCGTCTAGACAAAAAATTAACAAAGAAACACAGACTCTAAATGAAGTGCTAGATGTTGGAGGCTTTAAGGTAGCTTTAATTTCTCTGTGTATTGGGAGCTCCCCCTTTACTACTGGAGTCAGACTTTTTGTGACAGACGGCTGTGGACTTGAAGTCACAAACAAAACATTATGAAAACTGAACTTCCTCAGGGAGGGACATTTTGCCACGGTTTACAAGGCCAGCGACAAGAACACCAACCAAATTGTCACCATTGAAAATCTAAAACTTGGACATAGATCAGAAGCAAGGTATGGTATAAATAGAACCACCTTAAGAGAGATAAAATTATTACAGGAGCTAAGTCATTCAAATATAATTGGTCTCCTTGATGCTGTTGGACATAAATTTAATATTAGCCTTGTCTTTGATTTTATTGAAACTGATCTAGAGGTTATAATAAAGGATAATAGTTTAGTCCTGACACAATCACACATCAGAGCCTACATGTTGATTACTCTTCAAAGGTTAGAATATTTACATCAACACTGGATTCTACATAGGGATCTGAAACCAAACAACCTGTTGCTAGATGAAAATGGAGTTTTAAAGCTGGCAGATTTTGGCCTGGTCAAACCATTTGGAAGCCCCAATAGAGCTTATACACATCAGGTTGTAACCAGGTGGTATCAGGCCCCTGAGTTACTATTTGGTGCCAGAATGTATGGCGCAGGTGTGGACATGTGGGCTATTGGCTGTGTATTAGCAGAGTTGCTTCTAATGGTTCCTTTCTTGCTGGGAGATTCAGACCTTGACGAACTAACAAGAATATTTGAAACTTTGCTCACCCCAGCTGAGGAACAGTGGCCTGACATGTGCAGTCTTACTGATTTCGTGACATTTAAGAGTTTCCCTGGAATCCCATTACAACACATCATTGCCACAGGAGCTGACTTGCTAGCTCTCATACAAGGCTTATTCTTATTTAATTCGTGTACTCAAATTACAGCCATGCGGGCTTTGAAAACTAAGTATTTCAGTAATCGGCCAGGGCCAACACTTGGATGTCAGCTGCCAAGACCAAGCGGTCCAGTGGAAACATTAAAGGAGCAAAGTAATCCATCTCTGGCACCAAAATGGAAGAGAACAGAGGCCTTGGAGCAAGGAGGATTACCCAAGAAGCTAATTTTTTTAGTTACAGATAACACTAGACAGTATTTTACTACTGAAGGTAATAGTCAAAAAGGCAACTGACAGAAAAAGAGTGACCATTAAATAAATGCTATAGAAAAAATTGTAAATATTCTACACATGTAAAATATGTAAAACTGAATTATTTTTATGAAACATATTTAAAAAAACAAAACACAAAAACAAATAAATGATAATGCTAGATATTATTTTAAAAGGATGCCACATATTTAATTATCATAATGCTAATTAAGATTGGATAGAGCATTCAACAAAGTTTCACACATATAAGTAAATGAATTCTCTGATATTTATAGACTATATTATACAACAAATAAAAATCAATCTCATTTTAACATCATACCATTTTTGCATAAAATTAAAATGAGAGGAGAAATCTAGTTATAGGTCCTCAGCATACAATTCTTTAAAATTTTATATTCAGATAACCTACAAAAACAATTATCATAACACGATATTTATATTTTGTTGTTTATTGTTTATGAATGGAATTATGAATCAATGAGGCTATTTTCCTCTAAATGTACACACTAAACATTTAATCAATTTAAAAACCTAATCCATTCACTTTATACTATAATGATTCCTTAGATGTACAGAGATTAAAATAGTGAAACAGTTCTTGTCAACATTATGAAACCATATGGTATTTAAGTGCTCACTAAGATAGTTCACCTCACTGACAGCTCAACAACAACAAAATCAGCAGTAACTTGCATCCTGGAGATAAACACTTCGGTACGTTGACAAAATAACAGAGCTAGTAGGATATTGCTTCTTCACTGTCCCAATATACCAAGAAATATGTCCTTTATGGAATTCATCAAGAGTTAGATTAGCATTATTTGTGCTCTTCAAAGATGAAGATGTATTATAGGATATAAAATTTTGTAATTTTTCCTAAACTAAAAAATAAAATAGTTGCCAATATATTTTCTGACTATGGTAATGCATGTAGACAGTTTTCCTCATTTCATTTGAATCTGCCTTCGATATGTACTATTAGCATAATTATTGTGCTTTCCTTTCTTTTGCCTAATAATGAGTTTAAACATTACGCATTCTTAAATATACAAACAAAAAAGTCTATTCCCTTTACACACAAAGACACATACTATTATTACATTTTTTTAAATTTGTTATTCTCCTAAATAGTCTATACTTGTTGTGTCTCCTCTTCAATGGAACATTCACTACTCAAATTATACCAATATTCCATCTATACCAGAACACTAAACAATTTATCTGCTAAATATCTATAGAAATTCTTTGATCAAATGAGTAATTATATTATTTTTATCTTACTTGTTTACTGTACTATTTAAAACAATTGACAGTTATCTTCTCATAACTCTTTCCACTCCTTATTTCAGAAAACATCTTTGGCTATTTCTTCTGTAGTAATGACAAATTCCATACAGACTTTGCCAAGTCCTGTATTTTTGTTTTAGTTTTTTATTGTCCCCTAAAATTCTATAGTTTAAATTAATTCTTGGTTACCTCTTTGTCTTCATAATTTTTTTTTTCATGTTACTACTTATGTGGTATCAATTTCTTAGTTTAGTTTATATCTCCTCAGAGATTCAGTCTATAATGGTACTAAGTGTTCTTAAGTTAACTGCTTATTATTTATTTTGTCTAATTGGTTGTCAAACTGAGTAAGTTACATAGTAATAGTAATTCTACCCATAAGTCCCATAATATCTGGTGTTTTTTTTCACTGTTTTCATCCACCTGCACCAATAAAAAAGCAATTAATCATAATTGAATTCTTTATTTTTGACTTTCCATACAGTAAATTATTTCCTCCCTCGTAACACCATTAATTTAGATCTTTATTCTGACACACTTAGATTATTAGAGTAGCCGCTCTCATTTCTCTCCATTTCCTTTCATCTCAAAGGCATCCTCCACAAAACTTTATAAATTACAGTCTACCCATGTCATTACCTTGGTTAAATGCAAGTTTTTTCATTAAAGTCTAGCCAATAAACACTGAACTTTTCATCATACTGTAACAGAAGATTTATCATTTGTCTTTGTGTGACTTGCCAGCCTTATACCACTCACCTCTAGTAATTCTGAACTAAGTACATTTCCATGATACCCTTATGCTGAGTCATGCTTCCCGTACCTGTCCACTAACGGAATCTTCTTTGCTTTTTCTCTTCATAAAGCAGATCAAGGATAATCTATTCAGTGAGGAATTCTTTAAGCTTCCTCATCAGATGAACCACTACATCCTCTGTGTGAACACCATACTGCATATATTCTTAGTTATCACATTATATTGCAATTTTTATATGGATGTATGTTTAATCAGTTAGACTTTTGCAACTTAAAGACAAGTGATCCTGTAGATTGTATGTGAGTTTATTCCGCACACGGATGGACTCACACAAAGGTTAACAAGGTTATTCTGCACACAGATGCCTTGGAGTGCTGTTCAACTCTTGAGAACAATTCAGAGCATGTCCTGCACACAAGCTCACTCCTCCTCCTTGCCTGCAAACAGGAAGGACCAGTTGTTCTTAAGATCAGTGCTAACCTTTGAATGGGGGTTGATAAGAACCAGCAGCGGTGATAATTAAATTAGTTATCTTGAAAGGAACTGGGACCACTGCGGCCTATCTCCTTGGCTATAAAAGTAAACTGCTGCAGGACTTCGGGGCTGCAGTCTTGTCTGTCTTTGTGTGTGTTTGTGTTTTTTGTTCATTTCGCAGACCCTCACCGCAACAGATCCTTCCTCATATTTTTATTCCCAGTGCTTGGTACATAATACTTGAAAAATATTTATTGATGAAATAATTGCTTTTCAACCTTTTGACTATGATCAAGTGAATTGATGAAATAAGAGAATAATGTCTTAAATGTTATATTTACAAGTTCTTAGTACATGGAAATATGAAATGATTTAAAGATATTTGTCAGTATATTTCAATGAAAAGTGGTGGATTGATTTAAAAGCATGTCATGGGAAATAAAATAAAAAGTAAAGTAAAATAGTAATTGTGTTTATCTTAGCAAAATAAAATAAATAAAAAGTTTGACTTGTAATAATACAAGTAATACTATAAATCAAATAAAAGATATAGGTATATATATATTTTATAAATTATATTACAAATTGTGAATTTTTCAGTTAACAGCAGAATAAAGCAGTGTAAGTATGTTTAGGTTTTTATGTTTTACTAGTTGAAATTGTGAGTATTTCAGAATGACAGAAAAGGTGAAATAGTGAAAATAGATGTGATAAATGTATAAACAGTTTGTATACTAAATGTATGCATTTACTTAATTTTTCATATAAAATAATTTCTTTCCAAATAAAATAATTCAATTTAATGTATTTTATCATCATTTCATATAAAATATTTTATATATTTAGGCAAAACCCAAAAATGTCAAATAAGTAAAACTGTTAAAAATAATTCAAAGAAAATTCCTGAAATATGGCAAGTTTCTACACTATGCAAAGTTTTGTTCTTTGTTCTCTAAATATTTTGGAGATTCTTGACTTCCTGAGATTTCGGTTCCCATGCTGTCTTTCCTGATATATATTTGCTTTCACATTAGTGGGTCAGGGCCTCTTCATCAATAGACACATTTGGCACATGTACAACAAACTGATCCAATTTGGGAAAGAGTAGTGTTTTTGAGTATAGAAATAATAATTTTATATTTCTACAAAGCCAAAGCTTTCTGAGAAAAGATATGAATTGAGTCCAAGGACAAGACTAAAATGTCATGGATGATGATTAGATATTGAGAGACCTTCTGGGGAGGTTTACATCACTTTAGGTAGTAGATATAAGTTTATATTTCAAAAGGGATAAAATCCTGGGCAGTTAACTCTCCTCATGGAGACATTTATTTGTATACCAAAGGGCAAGAACCCAGGGCTCCTCACCTCTCCTACCTCAGAAAAACATGATTACATTAGGGAAATAAGGTTCCTGTGTCTTTCTTGGAAGGGAAGGGGACGATGTGTTCATAAGCTCCTGTCATTGTATAACAGTGATTCCACTTCTATAGCATAGATATCAGTACCTAAAGGGCAACATCTGTTGTCACTAAATCACCCCAGATACGGGACAATCAAGGCAAAGTGGAACCAATGTATGATTGTTTTAAGTAACAAAAGCTCTGATATCTGCTGCAGAAAACATATAGGCATCCGAGATAGTAAGAATAAATATAGATATTAAAAATTATCACGTAAGAAAGAGAGTTGTTTTAAAACTCTGTTATTGAAATACAATGTTCATATTTATGTAGCTTTCCAAATCTTTTATCCTAATTCATTTGTATAGAAATGGATATGTAGAGCCCGGCTGGTGTGGCTCAGTAGTTGAGCATCAACCCATGCACCAAGCGGTAGCCAGTTCAATTCTCAGTCAGGGCATGTGCCCAGGTTGTGGGCCCAATCCCCAGTGCGGGGCATGCAGGAGGCGGCGAATCAATGTTCTCTCTCATCGATGTTTCTATCTCTCTCTTCCTCTCCCTTCCTCTCTCTATAAAATCAATTTAAAAAAATTTTTAAATAGAATGAATATGTAGATTCAGGGAAGAAGTTCTGCCTAATAACGAAAAAGATGAATACCAAGCACTGAAAAAGATTAATACAGTACCAAGAATAGAACTCTAAAAATGAAAGAATTCTGATCAAAGAGAATCATTAGTAGTGGTGCCCCTTTATTTTTACAAAGGTTATGTCAACTAAATCTACTTTATCTTAAGAACTTCAAAATTATGATGAAGGATACAGATAGATAATTAGTAGTTATTATGTGGTAAGTGCTTAGATCATGTCTTAATCATAACAGTAAGATTAAAACATAGTGATCATATTCCAGATATAAAAGAAATCAAAATATAAAACCACATATACATAAATCAGTAAATTCAGTAAAACTAGAGTGCCCTAACTAGTATTTATATTCAATTTCACATTTGTATTTGACTTTAAAAGAAAATATTTTTTAAATGCAGCATTTCATTTCTTTAGAACTGTCCTCTTCTTCAGAGACCTTAAATTGTCT